AATATCCCAGAAAGTTCCTTACTCACTATCGTGACTCCTTCTAAAGGAAATATTTCTGAGATTTTAAAAAAGTAACATCCATGGAAACAATTGTTTTCCTAGTTGTAGGATTAAAACACTTATGCTCCTTTTTATTAGGAGCATATCCTATAAAAACATGTTTTACAACCCTAGGATCAAGTTTTGATTGACTAGCAAAATGAACATACACAGTGTAGCCAAAAATTTTAAGAGGGAGAACTGAGAACAGTTTGTTACTAGGAAAACACTTTTGAAACACATGTAATGATGAATCATGGTTTAACACTCCACTAGGCATTCTATTGATCAGGTACGTTGCAGTTAAGACAGATTCACCCCACAAATACTTAGGTACATTCATGGAAAACATTAAAGCACGAGAAACTTCAAGTAAATGCCTGTTTTTTCGTTCAGCAATACCATTTTGCTGTGGGGTATTAACACAGGTCGATTGATGAACAATTTTTTTTTCCTTCAGAAAACTTCCTAAAATCTCATTTAGATATTTAGTTTCATTATCAGAGTGTAAAATACAAATCTTAGTTTGAAATTGTGTTTCAACCATGGTATAAAAATTTTGAAATACGTGAGCAACTTCTGATTTTTCATTCAATAGATAAGCCCAACAGAGTTTAGTGTGATCATCTATAAATGTCACAAACCACCTTTTTCCATTGTTAGTTTTCACCCTTGACGGGCCCCAAACATCACTATGAATCAAGTAAAATGGTTTTGAAGGTTTATAAGGTTTCAAAGAGTACATGTTCTTGTGACTTTTTGATAAAATGCAGCTTTTACACACGAGTTTTGAATAATCAAAATTTGTAAACAGCTGAGGCAACAGTTTCTTAAGATAAATGAAGCTAGGGTAACCTAATCTATTATGCCAGAGAAGAACTTGATCTTTAACAGAGGTAGAACAAACGCTACTACAGTCGTGAGCCATTTTATTCTTGGATTCTTCATCAACAAGTAGCATAGCCCATTTTTAAGTTCAGCACTGCCAATCATCTTTCCCCATATTCTGCTCTTGAAAAATACAATGAGAGTCAGAGAAAATGACTATACAATTAGAGTCTTGAGCTAACTTGCTCACAGATAGGAGGTAGCAAGCAAGTTTAGAAACATGTAGAATAGATTTTAGACAAACAGCAGGGGAAAGATACACAATACCTTTATTAGCAATAGATGAAAGTGATCCATCTGTAATACAGACTTTTTTATGACCAGCACATGGTTTATATGAGTGAAATAGATGTGAGAAACTAGTCATGTGATCAGAAGCTCCTGAATTTATTATCCAAGGAGTGAAATCAATAGGAACAGAATAGGAAAAGACACTAGGATCACTACCTATTTGTGCAACCGAAGCATTAGGGGCACTAGACTCAGACTTAGGCCTTAGCAATTTTTGGATGTAGTTGATATGCTCTGGCTAAATGGACTTGTCTTCACCTCATTAGCAGAAGCTACTTTAGTATATTTCCCTTCGTGTGACCCCTTCCAGTTAGCTGGTTTGCCATGGAGTTTCCAGCATGTCTTATGAGTGTGGCGAGCCTTATCATAATAATCACACCAGATATTCCCAACATTCTTTCTATCTTCCTTCTTATCTCGGCTTGCAATACTTCCAGCAGCCAGAGCTGAGTTCTCAACTGAAGGGGCTTGATCTTTCTTCCCTAGCATTACTTGGGGTCTGCTCTCCTCACGACGGACCTCAGCAAGCACCTCACCAATAGAGGGAAGAGGCTGTCTTCCTATAATTCTCCCCCTAACCTCATCAAATTCAACATTCAATCCAGCCAAGAATTTAAAGATCCTGCTATTCTCAACAGTCTTTCTGAAATGATTACAATCCTCAGGACACTTCCATTCATAGTCATTAAATAAATCTAGATCCTGCCAGAGTCATTTAAGAATATTAAAGTACTTAGTAACATTATTCTCACCTTGACGGATCTCTCCCAACTTCAAGGTAAGCTCATAAACTTGGGATTGATTACCAAGATCTGAGTACATCTGGTTTATATTGTCCCATAGATCCTTTGCAGTATGATAGCACATGTAGTTAGTGCTTATTTCCTCTTCCATAGAATTGACCAGCCATGTCATTACCATAGAATTTTCTGCATCCCAGACTCCATGCATGGGATCATCAAGGGCAAGTTCCTTCTTCTTACCTGTCAAATAACCTATTTTCCCTCTCCCTCTGATATACATCCTGACTGACTGAGACCAGGGTAGGAAATTTTCTCCATTTAGATGAATGGTTATGATTTGAATGGAATGTGGTTCAGAGGTAGGGGTTAGAGTAGTTTGGGTGGGGTGATGGGAAATCTTCTCAACAGTCTTAGGTTGGTGGGAAGTTTCCGAGGTATCTGACATGGTAGACATACCGAGGAATGATAAGAGCAGGCTAGGGTTTAAGGCTGTCTAGGGCGGCTATGATACCATGTGAAAAATAGGGTTAGCTAAAGGTATGTGTATTGCTCTGTCTTTTCATTATGCGGGTACAAGCTTATATAATACAATAGTGCATCTATACTAGGAAACTACAGTTGTACATTAACTAATAGATTTGATTTAGCTAATTTATAGGCGCTAATTCCTCAACTCAATCTTCTAGACCGTATCTTCCAACAATTATATATGTATACGTGCATGCATATACTCACACTCAGGTCCTTGCAATTGGATGTTGTACTAATGTAGGCTCAGTGGTTGGCACATCACACTTGTTTATGCATTTGCACTTGATGGATATGCTTACAATCTCAATCATTCTCTCCCCCGTCCTCCCTCTCTCACCCTGTTTGTTATTCCTTTGCTAGTTAAAACTGGGATTAGTACATTTGCTTACGAAAATTACTAATAAGTTCACTTTTAAAAAGCAAAAGACTAATAAGTTCTATCAAATTTTTAATTAACCAATAAGTTTGAATTCTTTTTTCAAGAAAGTTTGATTTATTTTATACTTTCTCAACCACCCTTTTAAATAAGAAATATACATTTATTTTTAATTGTCATACCTTTTGGAGGAGAGCTTATTAGATTGAGCTTAATTTCTTTTTTTTTCTTTCCTAATAAATTCTTCAACTCTTGTTGTATGCTTTGTCATTGTTAAAAACACAAGAAGAATGTTAACACATAATTCTCAAATAAAATAAAAAATTAAATTATAATTGAAAACATGAACTAGATATTCGTCACACATCATTTTTTTTTTATCTTTATTTATTTATTTTTGCCAATTGAGAACTTTTATAGCCTATAAAAAAATTGAAGCTAAAATGCATGCCATCATTTTAAAAATGCAAATGAAAGAATGAACTATAAGAAATATAAAGTACAAGTTGAAGAATCTAAGTAAAAAAGAAAAAAATAAAAAATAAAAAATAAAAATAAAGGTGTAGATCTGCAAGTTCCCTTTTAAAAAAGTAAAACAATTAAAAGTACACGAGCAATTTCATAATAAGAGGATATTTTAGGAAGTACATAATAAATAGAACTTTTTTGAAAAAAAAAAAAAAAAATCAAAATGTGAAGTCACTGGTCTTTTACTCCTAACCTTTTACTTCCTAAAACTGAACTTACTGGTAATTTTTCCAATTTACTTTAGAGTGGAAATGCAATATATTGCTCTGATTTTGATAGATTTTTATGTTACATTTTCAGAAATTATGATATGAATTGCATTATCATTATAGTTTTTTCCTTTTATTTTATGAACTGTGTTGAAATTACTCGTTTTACTTGATTCAAGGTGTCTAGAATGGTTTCCTCACCATATTTGTTTCTAATGTTTTTAGGTGTATAATTCTTGGAAGGAAACTAATTTTTCGACACAATGGTGTTATGAAAATTATATTCAGGTATGGCCCAATATTTAAGAATGGCATATTGTCATTTAAATTCCTGATTCTTTGTGCTATGTTACATGAACCCACTGTGATGGTTCAAAATGTATATGAGTCCAAGTTTCATGTTAATTGAAATTCGAAGTATTGAGATGTGGCCTCTGATCCATAAAATGGGTGCAGGCTGTAGGTTCCAAAGTTGTCCTCCTTTCTCTCCCTCTGTTCTGGATAAATAGTTCTTTGCATTCTCGTATATCAGCACACTTGAGCCATTTTAGTAAAACTGAACATGAATTTTTCTAAGCAGCACCATGTGTGCACAGCATCAAGCGATATGACTTAAATTTCAAATAGACTGCTCCCATTGTAATTGAAAGACTAAATATAAACCCTCCAAACCAATTCTCATCCAGTCTGATCGCTGACCACTACCAGCATGTGGCAAAGTTATTGGTGGCAGTATAATGGTAACGCTTCTCTTATTTTATTTTTGATCTCCTCTTCCTTCTCTCCCCTCTCTCTCTCTCTCTCACACACACACACACACATGCACACTCACAGCTTTTTATCACTTTAAACCTTTTTAACTTGGCTTAAAGACGAGTCAGTGAGTTACGAACTAAGAAAATGCCGGGAATTCATCATGAACAATCTGGTATGACAGCAGGAAGTTTGTTTGATTGATATTTTCCTGTTCCTTCCCATGCTTGTCGGAGTCCAAAATGCAGGCTGATTTCTGCACTTGTTTTAGTGTTGTGTGAATTTTGAAGACTTTGAAAGCCAAGCAGTTCTTGCTGTTACAGATTTCTTGTTTATTATGTAAGCTCTTGTCTTGGTGTCATAGACATGAAGACAATCTTCAATATTGTGTGTGGCTTCACCTTGGGATTATGGCACTGTAATTGATAATGGCCATCACTATATGAGTGGTTGCAGATTTGTTTTTTTGTTTTTTGTTTTTTTTTGGTGCATGTTCATTTTAATTACTGAAGTGTGTATATTTTAAACTGCAACTTTGATGATACAGTTCATCTGGATCTTGGCTCATCCCTTCGTTCTTCTTTCTAGTGGCATCTGATCTGTAGTGCTCTCCCATGATCTCCATGGTTTCAGGTAAGGAGTATGAAGCGAGCCAGAGATATACGAGACCAGTTGGAGGGCCTATTGGAGAGGGTTGAAATTGAGCCGTTGTCCAATCCCAATGATCTAGATGCAATAAAAAAGTCCATAACGTCTGGTAAATTTACAATTAATAATTATTACCGTTTATATGGGAGTCAAAATACTTACGTGATCTTCAGTATTTAATTCAATTCTAATCGTCCTTTCTAGGTTTTTTCCCCCATTCTGCAAGGCTACAAAAGAATGGATCCTACAGAACTGTGAAACATCCACAGACCGTTCACATTCACCCCAGCTCAGGGTTGTCACAGGTGAGCTGTGTTTTGGCTCTGTTTGGCCTTGCTATGCATACAAGTTAAGCAGCTTTTGGTCTAGCTTTTAAAAAGCAGAAGTGTTTGTTAAAGAGATTACTTTTGGAAAAGGCAAGCATAATATCTCAGGAAAGTGGGTAAAAGCTGATTATGAGAGAAGCATTCCTTCTCCTGCATCTCTTATAATTAACTAAAAGGGGTACTTGCTTATAGGCACACCAAGCAGACCCTTTGTCATTAATGATTCTTTATGATGGCTAGGATGGGTTGTCAACATATTCAAAATAAATATTGCCCCTGATTTTCTGTATTATACTTGGAATGACCTAGAAGTAAACCACTGGTGTTTTTTATTTTCTTAATGTGAATTATTTTGAGGTTGGCATTTTCCATTCAAAAGATTGGTATTGCTATCCTGGCAGGGAATTTGCTACAGGTGACCGGTCTTTACCTGCTGTACTTGCTACTAATAATTTTGGAATACTGATTTCTAATTGCCAGATAGTTTGCATAAAGACTAGGCATAAGAATTTTTAGACTAGGATGGTTGTTGAACCGAGAACAATTTTGGGATTAGGCACATAACAAGGAAATTGTTCATAAATCTCACAGAAAGTGTTGTATTACTTCTTATCCTTTGAGCTATCTGGGTTTAAAGCCGTCAAAGGAACGTAAATGCACACGATAACCTTTTGGGAGGCTGTAACCTGTGTGTTGAATATGGGAATTTCCTTTTTGTCATTTTCACTCTTCAGTTGGGCATGTAGGCTATAAATTTACTTGTTATAGATTGTTGCCTTCAGGATGATATTGTCCCAATAAAAATTATGCTGTGCATAAGTTTATCCTGAAGTATTTTTCTTCTCTAATGTGCTGCGTCGTACAATCTGCACTAGTGTTTTCTTGGGTGGGGAAAATTGACCAAGGAATCAAGTACATGCTAGGCTGCATGTGCTATTGTCACTAATACAAATCCTATTGTTCATGTAGGGTGTTTTGTGTGCTTATGTATTTTATTTATTTCAATGCAGGTGCTCCCAAGATGGGTTGTATACCACGAGTTGGTTCTTACTACCAAGGAGTACATGAGGCAGGCAAGTTTTACTCCTTTCAAACATATACATTTCAGATATTATTCCCATCTACAAGGGCTTCACTTGGAATATGTTTTGGGTCATAGCTGAAATTTGGAACGCAAATTGCAGGTAACGGAACTAAGGCCAGACTGGCTGGTAGAAATAGCTCCCCATTATTACCAGATGAAGGATGTTGAAGATCGTATGCTCTCTCTCTCTCTCTCTCTCTCTCTCTCTCTCTCTCTCTCTCGGCCCATACTTCGTAAAGCTTTATAGTTTGAAATCTTGCTTTTAGTTTGCAATGATGATCATCCAAAGTTGTTTTGATTTATCGACCAAACAGTTATAGAAGTGCTTGTTTGTGATGTGACATTGAGCTACATTATGCTTTGTGATATTGAGTTTTCAAATATCTTTGGTTTGATGTTTGGCAGCTGGGTCGAAGAAAATGCCACGAGGGCTGGGAAGAGTATGATAGCAGCTGGCTTCATGTTGGTTCATCAGATGTGAAGAGACTTATAATGGGAACTTGTGAGGGGCGCTGGGTGATATTTGTGGTCTAGGAATACAGGAGGTAAATATGATTTTGTAAATTTAGGAAACGTTAATGGACAATCGACATTATATGCAAATTAAAAAGTGCTGTCAAAGGAATCGGCATTGTTATTTGTAAGAATTTTGATTACTGCAATAATTCGAGATTATTCAAGATTGTATTTTGATGGTGGACTATTACTTCCTCAACAAATATCTTTGTTATGGTTTGACAGCTAGGGTAACTTAGAATTAGCTTCTGTATCAACTAAGTGGTGCAGCGCAGGACAGATTAGGAGCTGTTTTGAGAGGCCATTTAAGGTTGTATTATAGATATCTTGTGAATTATGAGGATGCGGATTGATTTCTAGAAGTTGCTAGTTTTTTTACTCGCTGCGTATAAAATATATAAAATTATTTTATTTTAATGTCTTGTGTCATATTGTGTGACTTTCAAAATATATCAAATCAAAAATAAATAAAAATTTATTTAATTTTATTTTTTTTAATTAAAATTTTGTATTTAGATTAATTATTTTTAATATTTTCTTAAGTTTTTTTTTTTTTTTATTAGAAAGTGTGGGAAATATGCCTCCAATTTAGGAGGAACAGAATCTTCTTGTTATGAAGAAATCAATAACTATAATCACAAAAAATCACTAGAAAATATGACCTTGATTTCCTATTCTAATTTTCTTAAATTGTGACTTCCTATTCTAGTATATATGGCTCGTATAAAAGGAACTCGAAGCTGTTGTATTTGGGAGGGATAGAAATAAAAAGTTGAAACATTTCTTATGTGTATGTAGGTCTTCATGATCGAACTACGTTAAACCTTGTGTTTTTCTTCTTATATTTCGTTTTATGGTATCAAAGCTAGGTTATCATACAATTTAGTCCTCATGTCAACTTAACACGAGTGTGATCTCGAACTTAGTTATTAGTCTAGTTCGATTAAGATCACATAAGTTTTCTTCGATTTTCAAATGTCTTAGCTTCAGAGTAAATCAATTATGCTTTATTGGTGTACTCTTATAATGGCCATAGATTTCTTGAGTAGATATTTATTGAATTGCAATGTGATAACTCCTTTGGCATACAAGGAATGATATATCCTATCTTAGTCATCCATTTACCTTCATTAGATTTCTAGTCACCCAATAAATCGTCCATTTGTAACCCTTTATTGGATTCATCAAAACAAGTGTCAAAGTACATAAATCTTTCAATGAGATAAGCGTGATGACTTCAAATCTAAGGACTAGTTATACCTATCTCGTAGAGATTCCAATAGACTAAACCAAATGGATTCTTATGGTGAGTCAAATCCGGTGATATATTCTTTAACATAAATCACACGAGTTCTTACTTTGACATCACTATACCAATAGGTGTGAGATCTCACACTATCGTCATATAGCATGAGCATAACACTCATAAGTGTAACCACATCTAGTAAATGTCCATTCTTAATAATGCTTATGACTTGAGACATTTAATGATATCATTTATATGCATTAGTGTTTGTCTCACATCTTTTGATCAATCACTATTGAAAATACATATCATAAGGACTTTTATCTAATTCTATTGAATTAATAAATATAAAACATAAAAATTAACAAAAAATTCTTTATTATTAATAAAGTAAATAATGCAATAATATAATACTCAAACTTATCCAAACATGATTGGATCTTCGCTACCTACACTAACATTAGGCACATGATAGGGCTAATGTGCCTTGCTCATACAAGGCCTTCGACCAAAGCTAGTTGCATAGGAGGTGTGCGACATGCCAAGCTTCCGGGCAAGCCGAGTCACATGTTGGGTGTGCGACGTGGTAGACTTGTGCCGAGCACATGCCAAGCCACGACGTGCCTAGTGCACATCGGGTGTGTGTTGGGTGCGTGCATGGTCGAGGCTCGCAATGTGCTGGGCCTAAGGCCAATGCTAGGCCAGTGTGTATAAGTGCATAAGGCCAAAAGCTTGGGTGTGGAAGCTCGTAGGCCACTCGAGGCCCAAAAGCCTATGGCCTAAGGTTCGAAAAATCTTACAATTGAAATTGAAATTTTTTTTTGATAAATTTATAAAATGAATAAAAAATTGATTTATAATTATGATTTAATTGAAATGTGTTTCATTAGTATGTCATGTATCAATGCAATTGAAGCATAAGAGAATGGTATGGATGAATTGACTTTGTTTATGAGAATGAGTATTTGTAATTTTTTTGATAAATAGGGCTCGCGTGTCTTGCCTTCTCTATTATTCTATTATATTTCTCTTCTTATCTTACTCCCTTCGAATGTTACTCGAGGTTTCTTATTCAAAAAAATATAAAAATAAAAGATAAGGATTAGAATAGATGCAAGGAGAAGACGCTAAGAAGTGAAGACAATTTCAAAGAATTTATAATAATTTTTCACCTAAGTATTTGACTCACAAGTCTCCTTATGGCTCGAGGGGACTAGTATTAGAAATTCATTACCATTCACTAGTCCTTAAGTCATGTATGAGATGTATGTGTTTATGTTATACGATTGAATGTTAGTAGGCATGATAGGACTAATATGATTATTGACTTATATGTATGCTAGAATAAGACCTACCGTATTAAATCCTTCAAATTAAATATCAAGTTAATTGCCTTCTAATATTATGAAGAGGGAACTCTCTTGATCGTTGTTGACTTGTTGATATAACTGAAGGTCACTTGGTCCAAGAGTTGTTCTATTACCCTTAAGATTGAAAGAAGATTCTTTAATTTGATACACCTCTAAGTCTTCTTTCTTGCTAAAATTACTTTTCTTATAATTCTAATTATAAAGTATTACCCACCCTTCATGACTTGATGGCTTGTTTAATTCCGTCCGTAATAAACACCATTTTAGTAAAGTTATTTGACCTATTACTCGGCAAGTAATCGTAATGGAGAGCTTTGAAAGTATTGATAAAAAGAGTAACCAACTCTTTTTCAAGAAAGGGTAGGTGAATATAGGAAGTCGTTTCTTGCCATATTGGGGCGTATTCCCCTCTAAATTAAACTTATATTGCCTCATAAATATCTCTACCAAATCTTTCCACCATTTGATCTTAATCTAATCTAAATTAATGAGCCAGTCGAGGACAAATCTATCTAGGCTCTCAAGAAAAAAGTAGATCGGCATCTTCTAGTCATATGCCACATCAACCATCTTATTCAAATAGATTCTCAAGTGGATCCTAGGACATTGGCTCCCATTATACTTGAAAATTTTAGGCATTTTAAATTTTTTTAGGGATTACCACATTAGGATTTTTTAGACATCACATGTTTTTATGAGTTTAAGAGAATTAACAAAAAAAAAAAAAAAAGAGGAGAAAAGGTGAAGAGAAAAAAAGAGTGAGATAAATAGAAAAATTAGGATTTGGGTTCTAATTAAAAAAATATATGGGATATTAGAACTAAGAAAAATTCAATTAGGGGTTTAATTGGAAAGAGTACTAATTGAAAATGGATTTGAAGAGAAAATGAAGAAAAAGGGAAAATAATAGGACAAGATGGGATTTTCACCTAAAAAACCCTAACAACCACATATATAAGCTCTCTTTCTCTCTCACTTAAAAGGGGGATGGACTCATTTTTCTTTCCTAAAAGGCAAACCTAGAGAAAGAAACACTCACCTTTGAAAAGCCAAAGCCTCTATAGCCACCAACCTCTTAAAGCACAAAACCCACCACCATCTTCTTCATCCATTACCTAAAACATAACCAAAAGCTTAAGAAACCCATTTTAGTCGTTGGCCATAAGCTTAAGAAATCTTTTCTAAGCTATCAACCACAAGCAAGAAATCCTCTCTAAAACACAACCACAAGTGAGAGAAAACCTCATAATCATTGACCATAAGTTCATGAAGAACCTCTCTTAGTTGTCGACCAAGCCCTAGCGGATTCACAAGAAGAGTCCGATCAACCTCCTTCTCCCATAGCCACTTGTTGCTATTGCCACTATCCAATGATACTCGGTAGGTCGGACCTCTCTTGGCTCTCATCTCTCGACCAAAACTTCTTTAGCTACCCTCTTATCTCTCTCACCCGTACCTATTTCTATTAGTTTTCCAACCCCTTCAACTTATGATGACAACAACAATAACTTTTTCTAGCTCTTGACAGTTTCCTTTAACTCATGGTAATGGGAGAAGCCTTTTTCCGAGTCATAGACAATAGCATCAATTTCCAATAATAATCACGGACAGTAGCTCCTCTATGATAATCCATTTTCTAGTAGCCATAGACATCTCTTGGGTTTTTTAGCTCCTAAAAAGATGGCCATAAAACACCCCTCTCTTCTCCAACCTTTTCTCTCTAGTTGACAACATTGATTGTCATCATTGGAGATTGAAGAAAATGATCTAAACACACATACAAGGGGAAACCTTAACTTAAAGTGCTAACCTTCTCTTGCTCTGGTTGATAACATTAATTGTCTCCATTGGAGAGTTAAAGAAGGAGCGATTCATCTTTAACCTAAAAGACATCGTTAAGACTTATAGGGTTTTTTTTTCCGATCATTTTGACTAATAATGTAAGTTTCTAACACCTTTGTATCACATTTATATTTTTTCTAAATTCAAATGCATTTGGATTGACATTATGAATGGAAGTGTGTGTGTGTGTGTATGGTATTTAAAGTATGATTAAGATATACTATTATATATTAAACCCAAAAGAGTAGGAGACTCGGGGTATTTTTGAGGAAAAATTAGTTCGGTTTTCAATGCTCTACAATGGAACCGAGAGGAGTGGACATGGATTTTAATTTTAATAGTTTATTAGTAGTGAGTGTTGATCCTAGTATATACATTTGAGAATGATATTGCTCTTGTGATATGATTGATTAAATATGATATTCATGCCATGTTTGCTTGTGTCGTTTGACTCTCAAAAAATGGTGTGTTGATATAAAAAAATCAATTATGATAAATGCTGTGAGTTGAACCTACACTTATGATTGATTAAACATGATGTGTGTGAATATAACGACTTGTCAAGGCTAACATTGAAAGTTAGTACTTGTAGTTGTGTCAAATAGAATATGATATATAATGTGTGTGATGAATTTTTTAGGATTTGCTTCGAGAGCTTATGTTGTATTTAAATATGTTAAATATGAGAGCAAAATTTAGTGTTTATATGCCGTGGTCGTTAGGGATTCAATAGACTTTGTGTTTTATAATTACAATCACTAGGAACTTGCCAAATCTTCATGTTTATGTGCAATAGTCATTAGGGTTTTACTAGACTTTGTGTTTTTAGCATTACGGTCGTTAGGGACTCCCGAAATCTTACGTTTTATAGCCTATAGCTTGTTGAAGACTAGCC